TTCTCTCCTGTGACTCACCAAGGAGGTTTGATGTTCCACTTAGTCAGAATTGCAGAAAACAAAATTACAGGCAACTGGATTTATAATGGGATTGAGCCTTTCCCCTGGGGGGTTCTGGATCGGCTACGGGCCTGCTGGAAGGGCTGCCTCTTGGGCAGTTGTTAACAATCAACGTCTGTGGCTACACCATTACAGCCATTATACCATTATAGCTGGCACTCGCTGCAGAGATAAGGTTCCTGTAGCTTAGCGCGTGCTTTCCCTCCTACATCTGATGCTATGCTTCAGCTGAAACACTATCTGCCTCCAAGCATGTGTACAGAAAGAGGCATATTTTGTTTTAAAAGTCAGTCGCTCAAATGTACCAGAAAACTTGTCTTGCTCCTTCCGTGACGCTGAGGAGCAGCAGGCTGCCCCATGCCATGTCCCCTTGCCAGGGAAGTCAGAAGCAACATCTTCCTATCAGATCTCTCGCTCTACGGTGTAGCGTGTGAGACCTTTCCCTTTTTGCACAGAAGAGACTTTACTTCTAAACTTGATTTTCTGAGACACTCTATAGTAAGACATCAAGGTTGCGCACAAAAGCGTGGTTTACGCTCAATGCATTTTTGTTCCCTGTGGTGGCAAAAGAAGGTTGACACGGAAGCTCAGATACTGCCTTCTCACTGTTGGCATCTCTCTGCTAATTTATATATTCTTACACCCTGCTGTCATTTGCCTTGGTATGATTTAATGCATACTTGGCCCCAGGAGGAAAGACTTAAAGGTGAAGCTACGGTATTTATTTAGTATATGATTGGAGAAGTCATGGCCAAACACTTTTCAAACAAGGCCACTGTGAGGAATGTAAAAGCACGTCTCTACTGATGGTAAGAAAGATGATTACAAATTGTATATTGTTCTACATAGCTAGAAAATACGACTATGCATCAGTAGGAAAGAGAAGCACTCCAAGGCCAGGTTGGAAACCACTCATTTTGTTAGGGCAATAGGTGTTGGCCATACCCCACTCCTCTCTCAGGTTGGATTAGGACTCCTGGAAAGAAAAAAATTGAGGTTTCTATAGGAGAATGACTGTTTCTCAGGAAAACACAAGTGATCAGTTTTGAATTAGAGCAGTATCATGATAAGCCAGCCTTTACTGAGGGTTTCATGGCTTGCAACCTGGTTGTAGCCAGATCTGATCCAGTGTGCTGGGGCCAATGACTTGGAGCTGGGCGAGAGTTTATATTTATTTTCCCTCAAATAAAGGTCAGTGTTGCGTATTGTGTGCGATAGATGACTTTCTGCATCCTGTTTTACAATACAGCAACTGATAAGTAATCTCCAACGTGCCAGTGAGGTATGTTACATTTCTTCAGTTTCTAAAGTATCTGTCAAAAAGATTTGTTAAAAACCCTAAAGGCTGTACAGCTGCTGGCAAAAATGCGACCTAGGAAGACATGGCAGGCACGGTTTTCACTTGTCATAGTAAAACGGTCATATTGTTTTCAATTGTTATAGCCAACTGCTGCTATAAAACATCACGCTAGGGGGCTTGGGCAGGGCTAAAAGTCATTTATTTGAACGCAGATAACGTTTGGAGCATTACAGGTCATTGCAGGGGATGGGCGAGACCAGTGGTTACGCACTGTCTTAAGCCCTGGGACACTGGAGGGCCAGTCCAGCCACCCTGCCTGGAGCCCTGGAGCCCTTCTGCATCCCGAAAGATCTGCCTGTCGCACATCTGTGTACGAAACCCCCTTTTCGTGTTACCGTGTCCCCGTTTTATAGATGTTTTTTCCCTAGGTAGGATGTCATGCCAGGCTGGACAATGGCTGGTTGCTACTTAGCAGATTTAAACCAGTTTTGGGAGCGCTGGTTCCTGGTGCCTATCATCAGCCAAATTTTCCTGGGAATTCCCTTAGGAATCACTCCAGTGCTGCTGCACTATCACACACCTGGGACTCAGACGAGCTGGAGAGCCCCAGCAGCCTGGGGAAGCAGCAGCCTCAGAAAGGCCTGTGTCCAGCAGTGCCCCGCGTCTACCACGGATAAGCTATCTGCATTTGTTTATTTAACTTTTACTCACTGGGGATTAAGCAGCCTTTAGTTTCCAGGAACAAGCCCTATTCAGGAAACACTTGCAGTGAGCTCTGCTTTGCATCAAAGCTGACCTCCCTATAGGTATTAAAGGTATTAATTTATTAAAGGTATTAATCTATACTAGGTTTTATTTGATTTATACATCTTTTATTCTGAGTGGGTCAAGTTTTGCTTTATTCGAGGCTGTAGCACTGCTTCATGATGACCTTGTCTCCCTTTTTTCTTTTTGCTGCTCAGCTATAAAGTAAATTCAGAGAACGTGTACTTTTTTCAGAAATAAATTATCTTTATTTTAAAATTCAGACACATGTGCTTTATACCAAAACAGACGCCAAAAGAGACTTGGTATTCATCTCTAGTTTTAAGCAAAACTGTGGCTTTCAGGGCTATATAACCAGACACAGTGATTTTAATGAATCTTTACAACTTTCTATCTCCCTGCCGATACTCGAGATAGTTTTGCAGGCACTTCAGCGATCTTTCTGTCAATGGCATCTCACAACAGAATCCAAGAAATTTCAGAGATTTCCAGGGGTTAAAAAAAAAAAAAGAAAAAGAAGGAAGAAGCAAAGATGGTGTCTTTACAGTGTCATGTTAAATATGGCCAGCTCTCTACCAATTTTCTGCCATGTGCATTTCTTCTTCCTGGTCTCCACGCCACCTCCATTTCCATCACTGCAGCACTGATTGCCCTCCTAAAGTTCCTCCAGTGCCAACCTCCTGTTTGTAATAAGACCTGTATAATTTTCAGAGATTCTTGAATAAGAAGAGTCCTTAGTAAGAGTTGTTAAGTCCTGATTTCACAGGAACTCTGGTTTTTGGGCAAATGCTTCGATTATTTTTCCTAAGTCTTCCTGCAGCATGTGTCGTGCTTAGAGTAGCCTTCTGTGATCCACTTCTTTCTCTGCTACTGTGTGGTCCTTCCGGCAGCAAGTGCAAATGGCTGGTGACAGCCTTCGTCAGAGACAGGTACCGTCACCTCCCAGTTGAGCAAGTCTATATATATATTTGCTCTGGTGAGCTTTGTGTCCAGGCTGTCCTTAGGATCTGTCACCTTTCCATTAAAAAAAAATATTGCTCTCCACTGAGATGCCAGGAACCAAGGACTGACTTAGATGATTATCACTCTAATTTTCATTCACAATTCCATTTTAATTAATTTTTTTTAAAAAACAGGAAAAAAATTCCCAACCCACAAAAATCGGTTCCAAATTCAGAACAACAAAAGCGTGAGGGTACACAGTATTGGTTTGGACCACGACCTCATTAGAAATTATTTGCAGAGGATTACTTGATTGAGGTTAGAATTTCAAATGATTCTGTAATCAGGGATCTGAGATTTTAATCTGGGTATCTCTCTGCTTAATACAAATCATACCCTTATCATGAGCCAGATTTGCTGCCCAAGACATTGATGCTAATTTAAAAATTTCAAAATAAACTCAGGTATTACTTACTGTTACCTTCTTAAGTCAAGTATTTTCAGCCTATAGTTTATGAGGAGGAGAACGACACTTTCATTTTCCTTCCTCACCCACCTTGTTTTAAGGAAAGTTTTTCTCAATTATTTTCCTCATTTGTTTTATGTTTCCCTTTCAAAAAAACAATGCTTAATGTTAAATTGGAAATGTTGCATATTACTTGCAAATATATTGGACCACAAGAATGTAAAAATAACATCCTCATGTAAATGAAACAAAGGTAGGAAAAAAGTATGGAAGCAAAGACTGATATCTCTGAGATGAAGTGGAATGGTGTTTGCGTCTGATTCTGACACAAAATACTTTAACAGGTGAAGCTGCAAAAATTGAGTGCGCTGTGGTGACACAAGTTAAATATTAACACAAATTAAATTCATTCTGATAATTGTCTAGGCCTCAGAAAAAAATTCTTATTGTGGGCTTTTCTTGAAAGCAAGAAAATAAAATTTCTTTAAACTTTGAGGGAAATTTATCCAAAATCCTGCCACGCTAGCGTGCCTAGACAAAACTGCTGACTAAACAAATATCTTTGACGTGTTTTTGCATCTGCCACCCTGTGTTAGTTACTGAAGGCTCCGTGTCTGAAGCGCAGGAGAATCGGGTCTTTGGAACTAAATTCACAGAGAACAGGATGCCTGTTTGCTTAAATCAGCTGATAAGAAATCATATATTCAGTTTATGTCTTCAATCTTGCTTCTCTTCTGGGCTGAGGCTGTACTTAGCAAAGATGGCTCCATATAGCTGGGTCCTATATCCTTCCTACTCTTGGAAGGATTTCCCAGGATGTGGAGAATGCGGGTTTGAATCCATGCAAGCTGAGAAGGGAACTGTACAGAGGTTTCCCTCCTTCTGCAAAAGAGCTCTGACTCTTGAGGTATTGAAGACTAAAGGAGGAAAAGGCATGTACGGAACCTTACTGTTGAATAGTGGTTAGGCACTTTCAGGAATACGAAGCACCTGACAAACGCTTTCAGGACTGCCAGTCTGCATTTAGCTGCCTGAATCCCATTCAAGTCTCTTTTTGGGTATGATGTATCTTTATCCTTGGGCCTCAGTCTTTCTGTATCTCCAAGAACAGTTACAGTGAAAGAATAAATTCCTCAGAGCCTGCAAAACACTGATCTATGCTGATAACCTGGGCTGTCAAAGGTAACTCTTAATGGAATATGGCTGAGGGTCTGACTCGTGTCTTTCCTGGGGCTATGGTAGCAACAGCATCGCCTTAAATAGGGATAGTACTGAAAATGTCCTTGAAAATATAAAATGTAACTTGGGATGAGTTATTACTAATACGTTTCTCTTGAAGGCTTTGGGCAGTGCACGGAAAAAGCCAACAGCACTTTGCGAAAGGTAGTGGTGGTCAGAAGACGTAGAGAGAAGGATGCATTGCTCACCTCTTACGGCTGGACTAGAGCAACAAGTGAAACACAAGTCTACACAGGAGTCTGCTTTAATCCATCATTCTATTTTATGAAGCATCACACAACATTTTCACCAATTAGCATGTGATAGCAGTTTAAGTAGGGACTACAGGGTTATTTAAGGAAAAAGCCGACAACCTATTTCATAGTCACTGACTCCTCATTTGGCAGCAGTGCTCTTGGAGGGCTTGGGTAGTACCCGGCAGTTGCTGAGCCATTTGAGGAAAATCTTGTAAATCTATAATCCAGTGGTAAATCTGAAAGACAGAAAGACACATCTGATTAGCAACAGAGCCCATATCACACAAAAAATAAACTTGTGGTGAATTCAAGAACTCTTAAGCCCTTGAGCTGTTTGCTCACCAGCATTAGAACTGCATCAGATTGCATGATTACGTATTTATTTGACGTCTTCAGCTGTCCAAGGGATTGACTTTCAGAGTTTACTCAACTCCAGTAAAGGATATTCAGTTCCTTGATTGCTAAAATAATGCTAGTCATAGGAAATTATTAAACTAATACTTAAAAATTAAACAAAAATCTTCATTGAGCCGAGATGGAGTTTTCCCACTAGAACACTTTCAAGTTCATTCTTCAATTTGTCACCTTCCTCTTTTATCTCAGCAATCCACTCATAAAAGGGCTACGTTTAAAACAAAGAAGTCCATTTCTTTTTTTTTATTTGTGGCTATTACAGCAAGATTCCCCAGAGGCACCGGTTCTTAGACCTTCTTGCAGTCCAGTGTTAACAACATCATTTTGTACCAAGCATTCTCAGAAATCCGCACTTATAACTTGGTGTACTCATCACTTCCAGTCTGTAAAGAACACTGAATGCATTAAAATAGTTCTGAACAGTCAAAGCTTTCTTTTCTGTAGCTTTTTAAAAAAAGTCTTTACTGCCAGCAGTGACCTGCCCACCCTCACAGTCAGAAAACTGATACTTCCCATGCTCATTTCATATTCAAAGTTCAAGAAACCAAATTAAAAACCCACACAAATAAAACAATTACCCTTCCAATAAATGAAAAAAAAAAAAAACCTTACAAGAAAAAAGGGTTAACTCCTTCCCAAGTTGTCTGTTTAGAACCCAAGCAAAACATAAAAACTGTTACTCAGCTTATCTGAATGGTAAATTATTAATGACAACTTTTTTTTTTTTAATTTGGAGCAAATTTGGGGTCACCATATGCTATGATTTTTTTTTTTTTTTTGGTGCTCAGCAGCTTTTGTGAAACAGAAAAACACAATCTGAGCAGTTTCGGCACAAGCAACAGGAAGTTCAGGTCTGCCTCACAAGCGATTCACAGGCAGGCACCAGGGCAGCATCCAGGTCCGCAGCTTTAAAACCATATCCAACACAACTAAAGCAAGCAAATTAGTATTTAGATCCAGCTGGAAAATCAGATAGAGGCTGGAATAAAGTAGGAATGGGAGGAGACTTGATTGGAAGTGAATTACGCTTTATGAAGTGGGTTACTTCAGCTTGTCAAAGAAGTACATTTTCTCATTTTGTCTGACTCAGGGGAATCTCTGGAGCCCGTTCTGAGCACGGCAGAACAGGCAGATGTTTTTCTAGTCTGTGGAGGGCCCAATGGATTTACTGGCTGCTGAGTCTATTTACGACAGCTCTGTTTAAAACAAAGGTTTCCAAAATAACAACTAATAATAAAAAAGAAAGCAAATATTTCTGAATATCTTTATGAGCTATAAAAATTAAATGCCATACAGTTACTTTTATAGAAAAGCTTTCACTAGCTTTTTAGTCTAGCAGTGTGGAGCATCCCAAGAGTAGTTTAACCAAAGAGCAGCACAAATGGGGCAGACTTGCTGCAAAGTTGCTTATGCTGAAGAAAAGAACCAGTTGGATCAAAATGGTAATTTTGTTGATATTTCCTGGTAAACTCGCTTTACACAATCAGTTTAAACACCAAGCCCATTCTATATACAATTCACAAGACTCCAAAAGAGAATAATGACTTTTTTACTATTCAAACCCCAATCTATCCATTTAAATATTGTTTTTATCTGAGCAAGCTTTGGAAGATGACCAGAAGGTATCCATATGTAAAAATGTTGCCCAAGACATCACCGAAAGTTGCATGAAGCAGATACTATTCTTCACCCATTAAGCAGGTTTTATGTATCACAAACATAGTAAAAATCTTCCTCTATTTCCAGATTTTTTTTCATCAGTGATTTAATTTCCTGCATCTGCTTTGCCTGGAATATGAAATATTTTCTATTATTGCTTCATTTGTGTGATATATTTATGAGAAAGCTCTGGACTGATCCAGAAAGGCATACTTGGAATCTTAGTAGCTATGAATAAACCCACGGTGAGGAAGAAGGGCAAGTATACAGGGAAATTTTTTATTGGGGGAATGCAAAATTCATGAAAAAATGGAGATCCAGAAATTGTCATAGATGAAGACTGCTGTAAGTTCATTTAAACTAAGTTCTGCAAAAACCTTGCAACTTAAAATAAATCGCAGTTGCCCTGGATTGCAAAGGTACCATGTGAATTGTACACCAAAGCTCGATTCAACTTCTTTTGATGTAGGTGGCAATGGTATCACTAGGACCAGCAATACTGGCTCATCAACAAAAAACAATGATAGAGGTCTGGAGTCTGCCTCCTGGACACAGCAGCAATTCATTTCATATCTGGTCTTATTCCATATTAGCATTGATGACACAGAGAAGCTATAAGCAGCTCTGTTTCACTAAACTGAAATGCTTGTGCAGGCCGCAACTTGATGCAAAAGCATGCAAAAAATAAGATACAGTATTTGATAATAAAGCAAGTCTCAGGAAAAAAGTAGTTGCTTATTTCCAGGTTGATTGTTTTCCTAGTGTTTTTGCCAGTAAATTTCGTCAAGTTCTGCTACTGTGCATGCTCACAACTGCTGCTGTCGTGGCAGACCTTTGCATCTTGGCACCCGCTTTTCACCTAACCCTGATGGAGAGTCATAAATAAGGGATAGATACCCAGTCCTCTCCGAGATACAATTTGACAGCAAGGCTCTAATCTAGCCGACACTGATAATGAATTCAGCACAAAACTCATCCATTACTGCTAGTCTCCTAAAAAAAACCCTGAACAAACTAAACAGCTTGAGGCTGGAAGAACAAACTAGCTGGCCCTACCCAATTGCTTGAGGGCCACAATCCCAGAATTTTTCTATCATACTTGGGTAATTCCACCCAGACTTATTTTGTTCCCAAGACAAATAGGAGATTAACTTTTAGAGCCAAAGACTCCTAGAAGTCAGACATGGAGGGTCTCAAGGTCTATGTCCCTTTCTAGATCTACATAAATATCAGTTATTAGATGCATCCCCCTGAATTTCTGTCCCACCCCTTTCTTTGCTCCCACACCAGAGCCTGAGTGCGAGTGATGAAAACCCGTTTCCTCTGCAGTGACCATTCAGCGTTACTCGCGTTTCCCAATGGCTTGGGCAGCCCTCACGGGTTATACGCCTCAGCCTGAGCTCAGAAGCAGGACTCCCGCCCTGCCCTACCTCGCTTGCGGGGCTCCAGCAGCCCTGGTGTAAATAAAATGGTAATGATGATGGTTGAACTGTAACTCTGTTCCAGTTGCTGTGTTCCAGTTATCCAGGTGTTATTAAGTGACATTAGTTACAACATTGTGCTCTGATGCTTATGTATACCCATAGCCATGGATGTAGTTAGGTATAACGGATGGATTTATTTCATCGTTATTAAGCTGACAACATCTCAGTGTCTGTGTGCTGTTCAGTTAGTGTAAGCAAACTAAATGACAGCCACAAGCTTTTATCAGAAGAAAAATTAGAGTTCCAGCCACAAGGAAGGAAAAGGAAACCACAAGAAGAAGGGAAAACGTAATATTCTCGATGAGTGATCAGGAAAATATTTGAGTAACTGAATGGAAGACAATTATAATCTAATCCAGACACAGGCCTGCTTGATAAACTCAATACTCACGTCTAATCCTTTTTTGAGATTTCCTTGAGCAAACCAATACATTAAACAAATATAATCTTAACTAAGCTCTTTAGATGGAAGGCATTTTTTTCAATGAAAAGCGCGGTCCAAGACTGAAACAGATTTCTCCCAAAATACACAGCAGAAATGTCAGGAATCATTTTGCAGTATTGACCAACAAAAGCAAAGCCAACATTTTTTAATCATGACACCACAGCAGCATCCTGGTGACGAGCGAGAAGCCCTACAGAAAGCAGAACTCCCCTCCCCTCTCTGAAGTCTGCTCCCTGCCAGTCAGCAGGGCTGGAGCCAGACGCTGCAGAAACCTCCTGGTAAACAGCAGGGTTGTTGTGTTCTTAAGTGAATCCAAATATATCCTCCTGATTATCACCAAGGAAAAGGCACAGGGCTGGAGCCAGACGCTGCAGAAACCTCCTAGTAAACAGCAGGGTTGTGTTCTTAAGTGAATCCAAATATATCCTCCTGATTATCACCAAGGAAAAGGCACAGGAGGAAAACTAGAACTTCATTAGCGATACCCATTAGCGATACTTGAAGATTGAAAACAATCTTCAAGTTTTAAAGATTGAAAAATCTTTAAACTGCTTAATTGTGGCAAATCTCAGAAAACACAGACAGAGCTCTGTCTTATGGCCCAGCATCCAGCTGGTGTAACTATAGGGGCAGATCGTCAGCCAGTGTTAATTCTTTTGCTTTTACAGAAATTCCAGTAATTTACATTGGCTTAGAAGATTTGCCATAAATCCTTCCCTGTATTTCAAAGTTGCTGCTGAAGAAAAAGGAAAATATTAATTTCTTAGTGGTAACAATTTCTAATAATGATTTCTTAACAGCGGAGAAAGCACAACTGCTCTAGGGGAGCTCACCAGTTTGGCTGTGCTGTCGAGTGACCTGACTTGCCAATCTGCAGGTAAACTATAACAGGTGGTGTTTTTTTTAAATACTAAATGTTTTTATCTCCTGACCCATTTCTATTTTATAACAGCCAAAGCAGCGCTTGCAGCAACAGCTCGGAATGTGAAGGAGTGTACCAGTGGCAAAAAGAAAAAAAACCCAAGGTCACAAGTAGATTTATCTGATAGCAGTTATTTTTAGCAAAACTTCTAAGGCTGATTTTCCTAAACAGGAGATCAGATGTTTGCTGTACTAAAACAAAGCTCCCGAAATAGTGAAGTCAGCATGAGGAAAGTGTTCCTTCTATCAGTTACATGAAAGTCATCGCTGCTGTCTGCATACACTGCGACTCAAAAGTTAGAGAGGAGGAGGAGGGAGGGTATCTGTGCGGTGTCGTATGGGGAAGGGGGGACTCTTCAGTACAGGTATGCTCTATAGAAAGAAGTTGCTAAGACTTCTGAGTTTGGATGTAGCTGGCCTTGGCAATGTGCTATATGAGTCAGTGCAGTTTATTCCTGGACACTGGGGAATAAAGACTAAAACTAGCCCCAGTGAAAGTGCAGGTCTGCTGCTTTAATTGCACCCACGTAAGAGCTTTTGCCAACACTGGTGTATCGGTTGGAGATCACGTCAGCGGCTCTGCCAGTAGACATATGTAGCATGAGCTTGGCCGGAGGAAGAGCTTCCCTGCCACTGGGGTTTTTTACTGGTTACTCTTCTGCTGTATCTAACATGGGAGAGGGTGACACTGGAGAAAACCCAAGTGGCAAACTGCGGGGAGATGTGGAGCAGCAGCCTCGCTGTCAGAGTTTTGCAGAGGGATGAGTGCCTGGGGGATGGAAAGACCATCCCATCGTGGCTGTTGCGACTGCCCGTGGCATGCAGTTTCACCGCTATTATCTTGGGAGTAACAATTCACGTTACTTTGGGTCTACCCTACGGCCAAGGGACTGCTGACCCCGGCTTGAACAAAACAGCTGTGCACAAGGCATGCGCTAAACTTGCATCTGAGCCTGATAGAGTGTTTTGTGTTTATATGAGAAAACTCATTATTTGTACGTGACGGAAATTTGTCTCATTTTTATTTTAGTTTAAATGGTGAGTTTTGGAGAATCTTTGAGAAAATAGCCCTCTGTGGTTCTTTGCTTGATCTGGAACCGACCAAAAGAAAATTTTAGACTATAAGATTTTAAAATATTTAGATGAAGACTTAATCTAAAAAAAATCCTAAGTGAATGCCAAGATCCTACTAGCAGGTGTTAGTCTTTCAGGGCTCTGTTAATTAATTTCTGTCTGAATGACTCATACTGGATCTAAGGGCGGTGGGAAGGGCTTCTGAGGTAAGTTGAAGAAGTTAGCTTGAAAACAAGCAATTGTTTGAGATGACAGGCATTTCTGATTACGAAAAAGAAATAAGTTGCATTTTGAGACTGTGAAAGAGCTATATTAAGATAAATGCAGTGATGATACGCCCCTTTACTTTCATTTTGAGGTAAACTCACCAAGATCAGCCTTACTCTCTAAACTTGGGTTAACGTTGTCATGTTCCCCTCTCTTATAAAACAAATTTTTTCTTTCCCTTTCCCTATTTTTTCCTCTGGATGGGTGACAAACATTGATTACCTTAAGGTAAAAAGCCACACACAGACACACGTTAAGCTTTTTAAGCAGTGAAGACAAAGCCTACATTGTTTTTTGTGTGTGTGTTACCATCTTAATCCAGAGGGAATATGCTAGGCACCAACCCAGAGTACACAAATGCTTCCAACAACTTTTTCTTGTACATGTGAGGTTGCAGGTTATGTAAAATTCCAACCTGGTCAAAGAAATACTTCCAATACTTGATGACTTAACTATTTTCACTGTTTTTCACGCTCAAAAATTATCAACATTTTGTATTACCACCGGTGTTTTTAAAGAAGCAATCTAAACCCACCCCATAAGTCTGCGATCTAGTCAAAACCCAATTATAGCTTTAATTACAGCCTGCAAATGAAATTATGCTGCCTGAGTTGAAGGATAACTTTAAAGCAGAAATGACTGAGTGGTTCCCCCTTTCTTAATGAGTTGCTCATGAGTTCTCCCTTTAATCTTTTAGAGGTGGCTGTACTTTGACATCTCAGAGCAGAATAAAAACGGCAGAAACATTTCTGTCAGTTATTGGCTAGGAAGTAATCTTTTGGGTTCTGCATGATTTGACACGGCCTTCAGGGGTACAAGTCAATACACCTTTCTGGAGGAGGAAGGAAAGGCTGAACAAATTGTAATACACTGAAAGCTGTCCTTTCTATGTTGAAAATTACTACCTAGTAGTCAAATCCTTTGGGAAAGTTGAGGTCTCAGACCCTTTGGGAAATAACGGGGTCCTGAAGACTTTTTACAAGCTAGCCCTAATTTACTGAATAATAATTTGTTATGGTTGAAACGCAGTTTATTGTCGGTTTCAGTTGTATTTTGCAGCTGAAAAAATAAATTCCTTCTATCTGTCTGTCCTGTTGAGTATGTTTTTCTTTCTCTTAAGTTAAGAACACTGAAACTAGTTTTCTGGAACAGATGAATCAGATTTACATTATCTGATGCTTTTCAATTTACACATAGAGCAAGATGCTGTTAATACATTCAGAATACCTATCATCTCTCCAGTCAATTATCTTTGCTACCTGTTTTTTTACTTGCGTCAAAACCTCAGAACCAGAAAACCTCAGAAACGTTGTCATTGTATATGTATACCAAATTTTTAAAACTACATTTCTTGTATAAAAAGTTTCATTATAAAAATTACCTCTTTGGCCTTTTAGTAGCCATTTATAGCAGCTAAGCCTCAAAGCAGTTTAAATCCTCAAAGCAGTCTTTAGCTGATACTGTATAGATACATTTTTACACTGCAGCTGGTAAGTAAAAGCATGGTTGTAAGGTAAGGCATTAAATATAAAAGGTTACTGCTAATTAACAAGTAATATATGATATAGATAGTTCTATATCTTTAAGGAAATCATATGCTATTATTGCATTATTTGAGTAAGTAAGAGTACATAATTATCAATCTAGTTACAGAAAAGACTAATTTAATTTTAATAGGAGCTGGATTTGACTTTAAATGATGTAATGTCAATGAAAACCCATAGAACTAATGTATTGAAATATGGGGGATTTTTTGTTTCACTTCAACAATAATTACGAATGATATTTTTCAGGATATATAAGTGAGTAGATGGCTACATGCTTAGTGAAATTCATGACTTCTGTGGTAATAGTTGATTCTTCAAGGGCATTCGCCTTTAAACTACATGTTGAAG